TTGAACCTTTGTGGCCAGAAAAAAAAAATGTTATTCCTTGGATTTGAGTATGAGACTTTTAGGGATTTTTGATCTTTAAAGCTCAAGTTCAAACGAATCAGGTATCATACTTGTGGTTAGTTATATAGTTTTGTTGCGTATCAAAATTTGTAATCAATTTATAAAGTTTGCAATTTTTCGCACATTTTTTAGCTTTATTGTTGAATATGCTCCTTCCATTTTGTTACATGTACACTTAAACCCTTCATATTTTCCAAGCCCATGACTCGTGCTGCTTTCCACATGTCTATGGTATCTTACGACAAAATGGCAACCTTCATGATGTCATGTATCCATGTCACCATGTGCATAGCTCATCCTTTTCAAAGTCACATGATGGATGTGAACTCTAACCATCATCCTCACACGTTGTCAGATCTCAAGAATTTAAAGATATCGATAGCAATACTGTTTTCTTCCTTCTAAATTGGTCTTTTAGTTATTAATTTTTCTGATTCTTCCTTCTTATTTTTTTCAAATGTTATTATGTATTAAGTCCCACCTCCTCCATTTGTGTTGTGGACTTAACTAGAAGATAAAAAAAAATATCAGATTTAACTCAGGGTTGCAATTGCGACAATACCACTTGCTAATCTTGTTTGAATTTGAATTTTTTTCCTTTTCTTTTTTGTTTTTTAGCTAGGTTTGCAAGTGGGACTTGCAGTGACATTTGGATAAATTAGGGAGAAGAATGGCTAGGAGACTAATTTATATTGGAGGAATGACTATTTTGGCCAATTTTTCAAGAATTTACTATTTTGACCAATTTTCCCAGAATTTACTATTTTTAACAATTTCCAAACATGAGATGAAATATATGACTCCTAATTTGTTCACACAAATGAAGTAATAGAATTGTGACAACCATATGCATGGATAGACAACCATAGTTAACAAACTCGGTTATGTCTGTGAATGAAATAAATCGTTTGTCTTCCATAAAGCATTATTTCGGGCATGAAAATATTACATGTAAAACAAGTTATCTGTGTTCTTTTCTATGATTAAACATGAAATAAACTGCCACAATTAAAATATGACGTATACGTCCCTAATATATCTGGATTTTTACTGTACGGTGTGTCATACACACAATATATCAAACTCTTCAATACATGTGTTTTCGGATTCTAAGAAAATGTATCTTCTTAAAAGACTATTTATAAGCTATGATCTTTACCTCTGTAATATATTTGTCCAAAATATTCTAAAAAAAAAACGTTTGATCATATATGTACTGCCTTCAAGAGTCCAAAGGTCAATTCTGTCATTTCAAACACATACATGATATCATGTATTCAACCATTATCAAGACGGATCCCAAACCAACTTCTTTTTTTTTTCTGTATACAACGTAAACCAATTACAGGTAAAAACCATATTTATCATTATCAATAAAACCAAAATATTAGGTGAAAATTAAGTTGTATAATTACAATAAACACATATTTTATCAAAAGAAATTCATTAATTTGTCTAACTAGATTGTCTTCTAGTCACCTAAAGCACAAGAAACGTTCCTTTATGATTGGTAGGAATGATGTCATTTATGTTAATTAAGCCTCATTATTGAAGGTGGCCCATATATATTTCCATGGCAACTATTTTATTTTATTTATTAAAGTTAATAGCATAATATTATAAATTAATATATGGTACTAATTTAAAAAAAATGAAATTTTGCCATTTTCAATAAAAATTGTATATTACTTAGTTTAAATTACATAAAATATTATATTTTATAAAACACATGTTAAATGTTTATGGCTATAAAACAGTAAAAATAGTTATTTTGCATGTTTTTACATCGAGAATTAAACAAGTTAACTATTTGTCACAAGGGTAGATCCAAAATTTTGTTCTGTTGGTGTCATAAAATAATTATAGATACTAAATGTATTAAAAAGCAGTTCCAATTCCAATTTCACTAATTCAGGGCTTGAGTATTGTGATCCAGGATTGTTCACCGGTAAAACTCAAATTTAAACTTAGGTATACATTATTGTAATCTCTTAAGGGTCGTTTACCAAACGCTTATCTGGGTAAATGTTTACCAATTCACATTACCTTACTGGATGAATATTGTAGGGACCAAGAATCTTACTCGGTAAGAGGGAGACAAGGACCGAGAATCTTACCCGATAGATTGAGGGCGGCGGCTCTTACCATGATAAGCACTTATTGGTAAATTATTGCATATGATGTCTTTTTGGTGAACTAAAGTCTTACCCTGTAAGTAAGTGATAATGTTAAATGATATCGATAAACGCTTACCAGACAAGTGTTTGGTAAACGGCCCCTTAATTTTCTTCAGTGATGATACTTGGTGGTGGCAAAAAAGAAATTTATAATGGTAATATAATTTTTGTACATTATGACAGACAATACCAAATAATGGCACGAATATTGCTCTATTAATGGATCTACCCATGATTTACCTTGATCAAACAATCGGAACCAAAAGTGTTAAACGTGTCAATAACATTGTTACGTTTAAGTCAAAGAGACCATGGTCCACGTTAATGTCCACATGGCTTTCATTATTAAAGTCGACATATTAATAATGTAATCTTGTTCGTATAGTATATGTATAAGCATTTAGCATAATTTTAGAAACTGATTTTTATCTATATCAAACAGATTTTAATGAACAATAAATATTCTTCAATAATAAAAATAAATAAATCAGCAACAAGAATCAGTTGTGATTATAATGATTACACAGTATCGGTGACTACTAAGTTTTTTCGATTCATTTTCCTTGAAAACTATTTTGAATAATATACAAATATTGTTTATTACATTTGTATCAAACATTAAATGTTCTTGAATTGTAGCGTACTGGTTGAGCCTTGTGGGGATGTAGAGAAAATCTCATATTCCCTGAGTTCAAATCCAGACGTTGTTAAAGCCCTTACAAATATGAAGATTCACCTACACTTACTTCAGAACATTCATGATCACCCATATGATTTTACAAGTGATTCTAGTGTAAAATCACATATGATCTGACCGTTATCGAGTTTTTCAATTGAATCATTGTTCTCGTTTGAACTCATATCACTCTCTATATATACACCCAAAATAATCAATTTTCATATCATTATAGTCATCAAAACATTTTCAACAGCTTCTCCAAAATGGACAAAATGAAGAAATTGAGATTTTGAGTCAAATATTTTGACTCAATAACTTTCCTAAAACTATCTCCAAAATGAAAAAAGTAGGAGAGAGAAAGATTTTTCTTCAAATATGGAGATAACCTCAAAAATGTTTACCAAGTAAGATCACAAATAGAAAACTTTGAGAATAAATATTTAGAGATATGAATAATATTTTAACAGATAATGAAATATTTTAATATTATAATTAATGTTGGATTCTTCAAAATAGGAATCTATTGGAGATGAATGTAATTTTATTTAGAAATTTTAACTTTTAGTTTTTTATTTAAAAAAAAATTAAAGAATCTATTAGAGGGCATGGCAATGCGGCGGGCATGGGGTGGGTTTTGTAATCCCCGGCCCCGTCCCCGGTTTGTAGTAGCATTCCCCGGCCCCGGTCTCCGGCGGATACGGGGATTAACATCCCGTCCCCGGTCAAACTCCTATCAACCCGCGGTCAAAACTCGGTCAAACCCCATTAAAAATATCCCTTCGTTTGATTCTACCGGGGATCCCCAACCCCAGCCCCGGCCCTGACCTCGGTTTGAGTCTACCAGGGATCCCCGGTCTCGGGACTCGTTTTAACGGGGAATCCCCATCTCCATTCGAGTCGGATGAACGGGGTTCCCCACCAGCTCGGGACAAATCACTATCCTATCTGTGAGTCCCAACATCATCATTCATTTAATATCTTGTTTTATAACCTTACCCTTTTTGTTATTATTTTGTAATACTTTTATAATTTCCTACCTGCAAACCACAAAATAAAAACCTAATGTTGACTTGTTAAACTAATTTAGTTGACAATTAACGTAATTATTTTGATAACATTAAAGAGACAGAGGAGCATTGTCAAGATCGCCACCACTACCACCATCACCCTTCAAACACCAATCAGTCATCCATCCAACATTAATTTTCAGTCTGACAAACGACTACTGTAAATGTAGAACTTCCATCTTTAGAGTCGGGATTTAAGATCTGGATTCTTGGACTATAAAACATATTATTTAACATCTTGAAGGCAATTCATAAGAACAAAAACAACTATAAATCGTAAACCATATAAAAATTACAATTTCACAAACATAAAGACGAAAATAATAAACTTTCAACAAACAATAAAAACAAAAAATACTCTAAAATGTATTATTCACTCTTAACGTATTTTAAGAGTCGTACTTTAACATGTTAAATGTGTGATTTTAAACAGGGCCTCTAAAATTTTGGGGTCTAATTTTACATTGTTTAGAGTCATTTTATCAACGAATGTAAAAACTATAACTTACCCTTAGTACCATATTAATTTCTACTAGATACCAAAAGTAATACGTCTTATCTCATTTTTGTAATTTGTATATATGTATCTTTGTTATCTTATTTTGTAATGTAATCAAAAGTTTTAGATATAACAAGAACTCCAAAAATATTGAAACATAGATGCATATTTTAGGTTGTTCTTGTGCATTTATGTTACTTATACATTTATAACTATCTTGTTTCCATCAATGTGTTCGGAAAATGGTTGTTTTTCTAAGTGAATTAAATTTACAGATTTATCCATGGACTTTTATTGTAATTACGGTAAATTATATTGAGGGATAATTAAGTACGAGGTAATTAATGCTAAAAAAAGAATGAAACAAATTTACACTCTCCACCCGTATCGGCGAAGGAACACGCATGCATATAAAATCTCTTGCCGTGAAACGTGGAAAGTCCAAGTTCCGACACTTTTCTTCTTCCTTTCCTTCTCTCTCTAGAATTCTCTTTTTTTTCTCTCTCTAAATATCTATCTATGTATGTATGTATGTAAGTATATATATATATATACACACACGGACACAGCAATATACGCAGCTAATTTCGCAAACACTCACGCCGGAAAATCCGATTCTAATCGCCGGTGATTTGTTCTTCGCGGTGGAGCTTTACTTCAGCTGCTCAGATTTTGAATTTTGCTTTACTGATTCCTCTGCGAATCTCGGAGGTCGGTGTTTCTTTTGTTGTATTTTAAGTATTCAACTAATAGGCTGTGATTGTTAGATTTCATCAAAATATAGTCTGAGATCTATTGATTCGTGTAAAGGAAAATGTCTAGTGTTATTAGTAATTTTTGCTTGAGATTTGTCATCAGGAGCTATTGGTTAAGCGATTCACACTCCGCTTTTAAATGTGTGTATTTGCGTGTTTGTATTAACTTGAATCTATTTCCATGAGTTGATACCAGAGAAGATTTATAGCAAACACCGAGATGCAATTTGCTGATTGAAAGAGGTTTTTCTTTGCCGCTTTTAAATGTGTGTATGTGCGTGTTTGTATTTACTTGAATCTATATCTATGAGTTGATACTAGAGAAGATTTGTAGAAAACACCGAGATGCTATTTGCTGATTGAAAGAGGTTTTTCCTTGCCGCCTACTTAAAGATAGATACGTTTGGTCCTTTTTTTTCTTCTATTTCAATTTCTGGATTGGTTGAGTGTTTGATTTATACATATTACTTGTACGCAATTGGAATTGTTTTTGTGTGCTTGTGCCCCTCTCGCTCTCCCCATCTCTCTCTCTCTCTCGAAGTTGCATTCAGACAATTTGTATCTCGAAATTTCACTTGTTGAGTAAGATTAACGTCTTGCACGCAAATCGATTCAATTGTTGAGAAGCCTAATAACAAGCTGCTAACGTTGAAATTATTTACCGTTAATATCGAAGTTTGACCTTTGATTGTCAAATTCACCATTTCCTAGATTAGAGAATGAGATGAATTTAATAATTGGTACCGGCAAGTATGGTTTATTTAATTTCCACATATAAAATTATTTATATATTCTTTTTGGCCCTGAATTTACATATATACCAAGTGAGTTTAACTGATACTTCACAGTCGGTTGATAGAAAAAGCATAGCCATGGCTGATTGTTATAAAGCAGCTTCAAATTATTATCATGTTGATGCAAAACTGATGTGCAATATTAACAGTTGATGTTTTATGGTCTCAAGGGCCAGGGTGTAGCATACAAACAGCTATAATATTTCAAATCACGTATTACCACTTAGTCAGTTTCTTGCCTGATTAGGGAAGGGAATATGACACCTCAAAGAGTTGTTAGAAGGTCATAGTAAATAGATAAATGGCTTCAAATGTTAGATATTACATTTTTCACTTTTATGTGTGAAATTTGAAAGATTCAGAGTCATTGTGTATAGTTTTATTCTGCATATCTATATGATTGCAACCTTCATGTGTAGAAAAAGGATCTGAAAGAGGGCAAAACAGAGTATCTGTCTTCTTAACAGAGAGATTCTTAGAAAATTTCCAAACCCCGATACTTGTAAATTTGTCTTCCATCTTTCAAAATCTGAACCTAAACCTAAATATACATGCACTCGGGGATAAAAGAAAAATGTTTGTAAGAGCATTTCACACTAAAATGATTATTGCAACTTTGGATAAGAATGTCCTGTATAACTTTTCAACAGAAATTATAATGCCAATTTTTCTGAACCATGATATGCAGCTTTATAGCGCAAGATGAAAGCATGGAAGTGCTTGAATTATTATGCAACCTCTTGGACATGCACCACAACTAATAGGATGTTCATAGTTTGAATCAGACCAGCAATTATCAGTTTTAAGGCTTTCTAATGCAGTAAACTTCTATGGGCTGCCATTGATGATTCTTATTCAAAGTTGTGGCTGGCTCAACTATCTATACAAGCTGCAAAATTGTTTGCTCATTTATCTTCTTGTTGATATATTTCTTCAATTTTTGGCTGCAGTTTGGCATGAGAACATATAGAAATAATATCTGTCTATGAGAGAAGCTAAGCCATGGAGGAATCTATTGAAGAAAAGACGTATCCATTTTGATTGGGTTAGCTTATATAGTTGAATTCAGTTTGATTCCGAGGGAAATTTGGGAGATCTACATTGTTGAGATTACTAAAGAAATCTAATCTTACAGAGGGCTTGTATATGCAGGGACTTTGCAGATTCAAAATGAAACCTTTCATGGGAGTCATTTGTACGATAATGTTATACATTGTATATAGAACAACCAATTATCAATATTTGCAGACTGAGGTATGACACTGCCAAAGACTATATTATTAACTGCATTTAAATTGGTAGATTGGGTATTCATGTACCCTGCATTGTTTGATCTATGTCTGCTTGCAGATTGTTTGGTGCTTCCTTGTACTCGTTGCTTTGTTAAATGTTTACAAAGGATCTATAAAGGGCTCCAACTATGTGGATTCTTTCCCTTGTTCAACTGCATTCTTAGGCACCATTAATCATTGGTTCATATTGCTAAAAAGGAAACTGAGGCGTCCATAGTTCAACCTTCAAAACCAGAAAAAGGTTGCATGGGTTTATATAGCAAATGAAGATTAGTAGTAAATAATGCCATGAGCGTGGCATGGAATAAAAATATTTGATCAAAAGCTACATATCCGATATGATAGCATCATGTTCTAAATATCATTCTAATGCTTTTTCCTCGATGAACTGTTGTTCAATAAAAAGTCTGTTAGATAGTGATAATGCCCATATGTGTCTGATGCTAGGTCCATCGATACTAACTGGTTGATGTTATATGAGCTTCCCGTGATTTGAGATGCTTTTAAAGTTCCAATCTTTTTTTCTTCATGGGTTTACTAATAATTATCTTTTATTGATTTGTTTCATCAGCTGGACTCAAAGTTATTTCGTTTCTACACATCAAAGGTGCAACTTCAGAATCACCAGAATCTGTTTAAAAATGTCACCTTGGTTTTCATTTAATTATTCTCATCTTGGTGAAACTTGTGGCTTGATTGTTCTTTGTATTTTTAGGGTCCATTACTGCATCCTGATTGTGTTCAATATTAATGTACTTCTTGGTGCTCGTCCCTAGGAATCTGTGTCAGCTTCCACAAGCTTGAAGGGTTTACCACGTGGTATTATTGAAGCAAAATCTGACTTGGAATTAAAACCGTTATGGTCGACAAGTAGTTCAAAGTTGAAGGTTAGACTAAACCTTGCTGCATGGTTGGTCTTATATGTAACTATATTTATTTTCAACCGCAATCACTTACTGATGATACATAATTTTAAACAACTCAAGGTCGCATCTAGGTTGAATCATTACTTCTATACCTTACTTCATTACTCTTCTCCAAGTTACCTTTCTGCATTGTTTGCCCTACCAAGTACTTTTCTTGCGTGTATGATCATTTAATTATCTTTACTTGCAGGCTAATATATCCACTCCGCATAACTTGCTGGCAATTCCAGTGGGTCTGAAACAGAAGCGTAATGTTAATACTATTGTTCAAAAGGTACAATGGTCAATTATCATCTGATACTCATAACATATGATATTTCACTCTGTGAATGATAGCGGCCTAACATTAGCGATTTCAGTTTCTTCGAGCAAATTTTACGATTATTTTGTTCCACTATGATGGGAGGTTGGATGGTTGGCGAGATCTTGAGTGGAGCAACAAAGCCATACATGTTGTAGCTCAGAACCAAACAAAGTGGTAAAGAGTTCTCAACCTTTTTAGGAATATATGTCACTAGGGTTTTCCTATGGTTCATTAGTAATAGGATCAGAGTGTGATGCTTCTATAAGAGGTCTAATGAGACAGCATTTACGACTACCAAATTCTGAGAGAAAGCTAGAGAAATTTATTGGATTTAAGTGCATTTGTGCATGATGAACAACATAAAAAGTTTGGAACAGGTGTTGCATCTTAAAATTTATGGATCAAAGGCTAGCTTTGGAAACTTCTTTCCAAATTAGTCTTTCTGACTCATTTGGTTATTTGGACTTAATTATCGTCTATGATGATTTTTTACATGGAAATTTTTGTGAAAAAATGAAGCAACTTAAGTCACAAACTCCTTACTTGGGTGTTATCAACAATTGTCCAATTATTAAAACTTAACATTATTTTAGGTGGTTTGCAAAACGATTTCTGCATCCAGCTGCTGTTTCCATTTATGATTATATATTTCTCTGGGATGAAGACCTCGGAGTGCAGCATTTCAATCCTAGAAGGTACGGTTGTTGTATTTAAGCCATCAGCTTTATCTATTTTTCTGCGTGTTTTCATTCTTCAGTATTACTCATGCGGTGTAATAATACTCCGTCCTCATGATTAAATCATGGATCAGAAGTTTTCAAGCTATTCTCCAAGAATCAAAAGATTATGCAAAATGATACCTGATATTTCTCTCGATTGCTCCTACTGTTTATGTGTTCTTTTATGATGCTACTTTGTTTTGTTGCCCATGTTGACAGAAGTGGTACTACATCTTTTGGATGGAGATCATGAGATGTGGGCAACAAGAGTAAATTTATCCTGGTGTTATTACTGTATAATTGGGAGGAATTTGATGTCGTTTATTTTGTATTTTGAACCTGAGGACTAGGGTTGTCTAAAATTACTTATTTTATTTTGTTATTAAAATTTAAAGGTACCTTGGTATTGTATTTTTTCCTCTTCTCCAGGTAGTTGTAGGATTTCCATTGGTTATACTATTTGATTTGAATAGAATAGTGTAGGGGCGTAGACGGGTTGTGTTGGGCCGTTTGGGACAGGTTTACAATCCATCCCAATTATGGCGGTTTGGTAGTACACATAAAATTGAGAATACAATAAATGCTACTAAAAATATACAAACGAAACTATTAGTTATGACAGTCATCCAAATATATAATTAAATCCTTAATTCTTAGAATCAAATACTTCAACTCATCAATCAAGTACTTCAAAAGTTTGAATAATAGATGTCCCAAAACTGCCCAAATCATCAATCAAGTACGATTGTGTTGGACCTCTCCGACTCCAATATTGTTCATCCTTCACCACAAACCTAGCCACAACTTTTTCAACAATTCTTCTTGTTAAATGACACCACAATATCATCATTGCAAGTATGAAAGCTAAGCAATTTTTGTTTTTTATCACACACCCTATTCGAGTACTTCTTACATTGTGTTTTTAAGTGATTCCATAAAGAACTTGTACCAATTCGCTTACTATGATAAGCATAGTATTTTCCTTAATAATTATAATCACATCTAGACTTCTGTTTTGAAAATTGATCCTAAAAGTTTGAGGTTCTACCTCCTCTTTTCTTAGACGTGTTTGGTTCATTGTTGTCTTTAATTTTTGGAAACTTGGAGTATTTTCCATTTCTCGTATAGACTAGTATTTATTCTTATATTAGCGGCGGGTTTGGCGGTTTGGACGGGTTGAGCTAGGCCTTACCCAATTTCAACCCTCTTAATTGGTGGTTTGGCAGTTGGGTTTAATTGGGTTGAATTTCTCGTATTGTATGAGAAGCATGATGGCCAATCGTTCATGGCATCATGAATACGGTTGGCTTTTTCAAATCCAGCAGATGCAAACCTAGTAATCTTTTGTTGTTGAAAACACTAGGAGGTTGACCAGGGGAATTGCTTCATGTTTGCCGTGTTTTCTATATTTGCAGATACTTGGATATTGTTAAAGCGGAAGGATTAGAGATATCTCAGCCAGCTTTGGATCCGAATTCAACTGGTATACATCATAGGATCACAGTACGGAAGAGAACAAACAAGTTTCATAGGTGAAAGAATGGTTATTGGTAGCTTATGAAGCATTTCCATGTTTTTCATTGCTAATACCCGTGACTTTTTTTTAATAAACAGAAGAGTGTATGACAGCAGAGGCAGTGTGAAATGTTCAGATGCCAGTGATGGACCACCATGTGCGGGGTAAAATTTTCATTTTCGAAGTATATGATATTTATATATGGCAAATTGAACTCACACACGCTTCTCACCTTTGGTGAGGCTTGAACCCCTGACCTCCAGAAAGATGGGGTTACCAGTTACCGCTAGGCCAATTGCCCTTTGGTTGCCGGGTAAACTTACTGATTAACCCAAGCAAAATAGATCGAGCATGATAACTTTGGTTCATGTCTCTAGAAGAGATGTCAAACTGAGTAAATTTTTAGTTAAAACATTGTTATATGGTTTTTTGAAATGCAGATTTGTGGAAGGAATGGCTCCAGTTTTCTCCAGGGCTGCATGGCATTGTGCTTGGCATCTTATTCAGGTAAAGTTCACTTCATTTCTCTTACTATCAGGTTTTTCCAAATGTGGGTTTGTCATTTTGAAGTTCTATTCATATAAAAGGCACAGTGAATCAACTATAGAACTATATACAAGGACTAAACCTGAAAATATTTTATGCAGCACCTTCCGTGCTGGTCATTCTTTATAAATATACTGAGATTAAAATATCAATTATAAGGGTATCACTCTTTAGGAAACTATGATAAACAATTACTTCCTTTCACTTGTATAAGAAAATTCAGAAGCGTCCAACTCTGCATAGCTTGACAGCTCTTAAAGGTCCCCCAGATGGAAAATTGTTCGAAAATGATGTGTTGTTGGCTACTAGTTTGATTGAGTTATGCGAGCCTCGTTACCTTATGATTTATGCCTAATGCATATTTCATCAATTCTGTTTATTTTTATTTATTTCATGACATTCCCTTACTAATATTAGGGATTAGTCATAGGAACAAGTTTTGTGGTTCATCTTTGCTGCTCTGCATAGCAGAAATCGCAGTTGGGCAAGGCTGATTTTGTGGCTGATACACACTTGCTCCCTAGCTTCTTCCTCAGAGAGGCTAAAGTGCCATCGACACACATACACATATCTATATATACATACACAGATATAGTAATTCAATCTTTATTTCTTTGGTTAACCTTTGTCAAAATCTACACTCATTGAATACCACTGGAAACTGAGTAGCATCACATCAATGAAACTATAGTCCCTTGATAAGTTGGAGAAGTGAAAAACCACAAAGTACATGATATATATTCTACCTTAGGGGCAGGTTCATTTGAGAACCGTGAGAACCAAGTATTCATCATGAATATTCATGTGTAATTATATACATTAATTGTGAATATTTGGTTCTTTGGTTCTCAAAATACTTACGTTTCCTAATAAACTTTCCCCTTCTACTGTATTGCCACATATTCATCTCTACTGCCAGTTCATAACAGAATTCATTTTGTTTTATTTGCAGAATGACCTTGTTCATGGATGGGGAATGGATATAAAACTAGGGTATTGTGCACAGGTGAGTTTGAACTTCCAAGAAAATTTAGAACAACTTCTGCATGTTTGTAATCCTTTCCTCATATGACCTGTTACGACTCATTGGAGATGCTATATATCATAATTGTGCTCCAATATCCCTTTTTAAGTAGTTCACTATGGGGTTGGGGAGGGCTGAGAGTCTTTTGCAATAGATATGTAGAGTTTCGTCGTATGTTTTTTGCAATCTTTACTATTTCCGTCTCTTATTTTCTTGTGAAAATGTGGCTTATACTGTGCTTTCTAAATCTTTTACTACTATCTGCAAGCCGGAGGTTTTTTAGAAACCTCCTCTCTGCCTTTTGCAAAAAAGGAAAGGTCTACATACATTTTATACCCCAGACCCTACTTCTTGGTGTGATGTATCGGGTTTGTTTGGTTTGGTTTGGTTTATGGTAAAAGCTACTCCTCCGTCTCAAAACAAATGTCCACAATTGAAAATGCACACAGTTTTAGACATACATCATTATTACTCTTTTTAGTCAAGTCAAATGACAAATTTTACCCTTATTTAATTTCTCTCTCTTCACAACTCCTAAGTATTTGTGCATTAACTAAGGGTATATTTGAGAATTTAGTAATCTATTTTTGAAAAAACTGGACATTATTTTGGGACAAACATAAATAGAAATGTGGACATTTATTCTATGACAGAGGGAGTAACAAATTTGACATGAGAACTTTTCAAAAGTAGAAATGTTGCAGTTTTCCTAGGACGTGTGATTATATGTTTTTGAAAATGAATTTCTCGTGATTGGTCTTTGCATTCTTCAGGGGGATCGGTCCAAGAAGGTGGGAATTGTTGATAGCGAATACGTTGTTCATCAGGGAATACAATCGTTAGGTGGACCATCTGCTAAAAAGGTTTTCCCTCTACACCTGATACCAATTACTTCCTCTCATCCATATACACAGATAGTTGAATGCTACCATGGACAGTAACTTTTATCTTGTCACATGAGAATTTTTATTTTATTCTCCACCTTGTTCCATCAATTAATTAAATAAGTTGCTACTTTATTTCTTGCAGATTCCAAACGATTCAGATTTGACAAAGGTACGATTTCCACAACGGTATTCTTTTCCTGATGTACTCCAATCCATCCCCATCGGTTCATATTATATTTATGGCATTTCGTTTTATTCTTTTCCTGCAGACGCATGCCGTTGATACGCGAGCAGAGGTAAAAGACAACTTACTCCTGTTATACTGTATAAACTCGTTCATGCTTTAGAAATATTACATCCATCTGTTCTTTTTACCCATGGAACTTTAAATTTGAAAATACCTGCAAATATTTATTTTGGCTAATGGAAGTTTTACACCATCACATAAAATTCCTGTATGTAAGGTACTCCATGGATGTGCATAGTTGTATGGAAAATCATAGAACATCTGCATGTGCAACTTTTTAGGCCATATTTGGCAACCATAAGCTAGTTTGTCTTTTGAGCTTGTTGAAAAAGTTCCATTTGATTTAGCCATAATTTTGAAAAGCTACTTCAACTAGCATTTCAACAAGTTTTGTTTGGTTAGCCGTATGATAGCTTTTTGAAAAGCTACTGTAACTCTCTTTTTCTTTCTTCTATAGAAAATGGAAATTTTTGTTCTACTTGATTTCTTTATAGTAGCAGAGATTCCAATTAGTTATGAGGTAGATTCCGATTAGTAAAGAGGTGAATTGCAAATAAAAGGAAAAAGTTTATATCGATGCAGATTAGGAGGCAATCAACAATGGAGCTGAAAATGTTCAAACAGCGGTGGGAAAAAGCGGCAAAAGAGGACAGAAACTGGGTGGATCCGTTCTTCAGAAGAAAACGACGATACAAGCAAAGACCGATCGGAAGTGTTGACTCGTGAGTTTTTTTGACCATACCATTTTATTTAGCTTATTATAGATTAGTTGAGTATAATGACTGCTTATAAAAGCTCTGTGCAATGCACCTTGTAATTTAGTTTGTCTCCGAGGCCCATTTGACCTTGTTCATATCTCCATTTCTTATAAATCATTTATTAGATCACAATTCATTATCGCAGCCACGACCACAGCGCCTGTTTAAGTCGTTGGAAACATGTTTGTTTAATATTTTTTTTAAAGGACATATTGCGTGTGTTTTGGTTTCCTTTTTTTAATTCAAGTACAACTAGAAGATGCTTTAATTTAACCACTGCTGGTCAAACCAATGACCTCAGAACCGGCTAAAACAATGGTGTGGAATTACTTTTTTGACCTGTTAATTTACTCTTTAAAGAGAAAAAAAAGGAGTAAAAGACCAAAAGGCCCTTGAGTTGATGAATTCTTTTAACAGTAGTTGCTAGTTGGTTATAGGGACCAAATTAGAATGTAATTAGTTTAAAATTAAGAAGAACGAGACTTGACAGTGAGTGTCAACTATAGGAACCAAAGTGTAATTTATTATACTTTATATAATCAAGGAGTAAGCTAAAGATTTTTTTTCAAAGGCTTTGTTATACTTATATTAAGATTACAGATCGACTGGACTATTAAGAAATAAACGTAATAAATATTCATATTATATATGTTATAAAAAGTTCTACAAACTAATACAACAAAAATAATTTAAAAAACAAAGTAACAAATTAGCATAAAGTTCACTTAAATAAAAACATTTTTTAATATTTGGAGTCAAGAATCGTCAAATAAACTAAAAAAAATAAAAGTCTAAAAAAAACTCAATTGATTTTAGTGTTTAGAATGATTAAGTTTTTGGACAAAATTTTAAAATAAATAAGTCCTTGAACATTTCAAAACATGCTAAATAACTCATTGGATTTTTTAAAACCTGTTAAATACATCTATATGACCTATAAAACTAGTTAATATGGTAAAATAATGGAAAAAATCTGGAAAAAAAAAGCTAATAAACTCTCATATTTTCAACGATTAAGTTCCTAAACATTTTTTGAACCAAAAAAATATTTATATTTATAAAATGAAACAAATATATTAAAAAGGTACTTATCTATACTATATTATAAAACATTTGGTTAAAACTCTTAAAAACTCTTAAACTCTTAAAACTCTTAAACCCGTTCATTGCTAAACGATTTCATCMCTATCCGATTTCATCCCATAACTGAATTCGTGTAACTAACTGCAGATAAACACAATCCAATACAGGATAAACATCTCATTTTAAATATAAAAAATCTAAAATATAATTAGGATA